CTCTCTCTCTCTCTCTCTCTATTTATATATATAATAATATATTATATTATATTAACAAGACGTCGGTAAAATTCCATATGAAACGTAATATACAGGGTGTCCCATTTTAAATGATCCAGTCAAATATCTCGAAAACATAACCCAGTAGACAAAAATATTTCAGACAAAAGTTGTTTGACTCGAAGGGGGACATAAGATGGTGCCATCTATTTGACCTTGGATAGTCCTCTGAAGATCACGTGAAGGTCACCTTTAATTTTTTAAATGGAACTCCTTATTTCTCATGACATTCTTACAGCTCATCTCGAAAGCTTTCCAAAACACTATAATTAAGTTACTTTTCGTTAAGTACTAGTTAAGTTATAACAGTGAAAAGAATAAATATCATCTAAACTTTAGGGAATATTAATATTTCTAAAAATTGATGTTATTTATTTCTTTATGAATTATAGGATAAGAAATAGGATTCCTAATAAAGTAAATGGTTGTATGTGCTATATGATTATCACTATGTAATTGCTTTACACAATTTAATGTTTTATTAATAAATTTTTATACGTTAAATTCATAAATATAAAAGTTATTATTTGTAAATGTAATAATTATTTAACAAAAAAAGTTTTGCTAAATAATAAAAAATTCTTGCTTTAATCGACTGGATCAGCCCCGATCTTGCTTGATAACTTAACTAGTACTTAACGAAAAGTAACTTAATTATAGTGTTTTGGAAAGCTCTCGAGATAAGCTGTAAGAATGTACAATGAGAAATAAAGAGTTTCATTTAAAAAATTAAAGGTGACCTTCCCGTGATCTTTAAAGGACTATCCAAGGTCAAATAGATGGGCACCATCTTATGTCCCCCATCGAGTCAAACAACTTTTGTCTGAAACATTTTAGTCTACTGGGTTTAGTTTTCGAGATATTTGACTGGATCATTTAAAATGGGACACCCTGCGGTATACCACCTCGATCAAAAAGTTCCCGGAATTCATCAGAAAATTCAAAATACAAAAGTGATATTGTCCCCATTGACTGCAACGCACTTATGCCAGCGCTTGATTCAGCTCTCGAAACATTTCTGGAACTCTATTGTCGATATAGCCATCAGAGCCGTCTTCGATTTTTCCATTACCTCCTTTCGGCTGTTAAAACGCGTTCCCCGTTTTTTGACTCGATCGAACAGAACAAAATCGCAAGGAGCCATATCGGGTGAATTCGATGGCTGCTGGATGGTATTCGTTTCGTTCTTGGTAAAAAATTCACGGATAATGATGGCTTCACTCAAATTCAACTCCATTTTTAAAACTGTAAAAAATCGAAAACACGTGCAGAGGTAGATGTACTCAAGACGGCGTAACTTTTTCAAATGTCAAACTATGGCGATAAAATTTGGTGGAAATGTTAATGATAGATATGTGGCAACCAAAAAAACAGAACTCAAATCAGCTGACTCAGAGCATCACCTGGTGGTAATTCCGGGAATTTTTTGATCAAGGTGATCTATATATATATTTTACGAATTACGATCCCTTTCCTTCCTCCTGAATTACCCAGTTTGGAACGTAAATGAAAATTATTGTTGTCATAAGCATGCGTAAACGTATTAATTTTTTTCGATTCTGGTTAAGTGTGTATACGTGTATGTGTGATAAGGTGTTATTTTGTGTTAAAATCTATTATAATTTTACTAAAAAAATATTGATCGGTAAACACTACATATGGTGCTAGAATTATTAACATTTAAAAATGAGATCTAGTTTCATTTTCTATTAATGTAAGAACAAACATTAAGAATCACTGAGTTAATAATGGATTTTTTTATGCTGTATGTGTGTCCGTGTCTGAAAACCTTATCTATCCGTCCCCTGTTGCTTCCACAAGTGTCTTTCTTCTCACGTTGTAAGTACTTATGTTCGTACAGCGCGAACGCCGTCAGACGATATCAAGGCCGATTTTATTTTATTACGTGCACTAATCAATCAAGTCCTTTACATGGCTACGTGCCCTGCATTCCGCACCGTACCGTGTTCAATCACTTTCACATAACGTTTGTTCACTCAAAAGATATCTTCATCCGGATCACTTGACGGTGCGGCCTGTAGCGCCAACTGCATACTAGATTCCGTGTTGCGCCGTTTCATTTTGCCTTTTGTCTTCTTCAGCATCGTAGCCTAAGTAGGAACAGGATCAGGGAGCGCACAAAGGAGCAATCGATAAAAATGTCAGTCAATACTGCTGACAAAATAGAAGTATATAAGTAGAAGTAGAAATAGAAAAATTGGAAATTACGAACTTATATAGTCAACTTACACATATAGAAAAAAAGGGAGAGAAGAAACGTTTTGTAAAGCTAACACTACTATCCGATATAATGCGTCTAATTCACACATTACAAGCTCGAGCTAGCTGCATTGGATCGAGGCATCGAGAAGGTATCACGGAAGTTGATCGGTTTTACATGCATCAACGGAGGGATTGGAGGATCTTTCGTTTTTTCCTTTTTTTTCATATAAGTGGAATCATTTTAGACAGCGCGTTTGTCACACCGAGATTCCTCTGTCGCGTGTGCATTCTGCTTGCGCGCGTCGAGGAGTCTAGGCTGTGATGTCGCGCATCTTACGAGATATGATTAAACGATCGAGCGGTTGTAAGTTGTGGTATAGTTGGATTACTCGTCCGTGCTCTTGCCCCCCTCCCCATTAGCAGGTAGAATCGACGGTTCGGTATTGCGACGCTTGATCTTACTTTTCTTCAACATGGTAGCCTGAAGTGAACAAAGGAACAAGGAAATATTAGTCGAGTGCAATTAGGGGAGGAAAGCATGCGCTGATAGGTATCAGCAATCAGGTTATGCTTTTACGGTGAATACGTAGAGTATTGTAATATGAAACAAAAGGTGCTACAAACTAGTACATAAGGATGCGTTTATTAAAAAGTTTTACGTGCTATAAAAATATATATACGCCCCATTATTCTACTTAAACTCGAACAGTAAAGGGATGCTCTCGTTCATTACGTTTCAAGGATATATACAGAGATATACTAAATGTACTACCGTATTAATATCGATGAATCATATTATCGTATCAATAAGTGATTTTACATTACGCGATTCTGTCCATTATTTTTGTGGAATTATGGGGGAATTTTGGAAAGAAAGTCAAAGTATTACCTTGAGCGCTGATTTCAAAACCACGATGTCTCCAGGACTCTGAACCCATGGTTCACCATCTACTTGTACTGGTATGTCTGAGTTTAAGTGAATTTTTATGTGTCCGCCCTGTTCACCAAAATATAATGATGAATAAATTGATATATGTTATAATAAGAAAGTGTTATGAAGGGAGCTCTTTAAAAATATCGTGCACGACTTTTGATGGACTTCGGGCGAATCAATACACATCCATTTACATGCGTACACTTCTTCTTAATTAATTAATTAATGGCTCCCGCCTTCAAATAATGAAATAGGAGGTCGATACGGCCAGGTCATCAGGGTGCTCAGTCAAAGCCGGCAACGCTTTTCCAAAAAATATGATGCAATCGCGAAAATGGCGTAACGCGAACGGACACCGGGCGCCTGCGTCTACGACGTCGTCACGCCGCAATGACGCGCGTCAGAACGAACGAACGAGTAGAGCCAGTTCGCGGAATCGCATCCAAAAGAAGAAATGCAAAGTCAAAGTCGGCAACACTTTCAAAGATATACATAGTAACGAGCACCCGATCCGAAACGCGTCCGTTACGGTCGAGTGCATGCAGTTCTTCAGAACTGTACATGCATACACGCATACATTCGGAGATTCACTCCTAGTCCTTGAAGGGATATAAAAACTAGTCGCGCTATCAAAGACAAATAGGTACCCGACACCCCAATAACAGCGCGCCTATTCATGCGTAAGCGCCGTTGCCGCTTGGTCGCGACTGTCGTTGCTACGCCGCGCGCCGCCGCGGCTTCGTAATTATTACGTTTCGGAAAATTCTATCAATCAGGACCCGGATGGTAGGGCGCGGGCTGATCATGATCGTGGTCGAATATTCATTCGAACGACGATCGTGCGACGGTACGCTTCATATCTGAGCTGAGCCGCAGTTTTTGATCGAGTGGATTTCCGAGCGATTGTGTTAACAGTGATTCAGGGCATCAGCCCCTAGGCGAGATCACGATCTGTTCCGACTCAGGACTTGTCAAAAGCGATTCAAGGCGTTACAACGCCTCTAAGCGTCATCGCGAATCATATCGCGACCGAACGTTGAGTGCAAAGTATATTTGATAGTTTGTAAGCTGTACATAATGTTACATATGTAGTGTCATATCATCGTCGTGTAAATAACTGTACATAAATGATATAAATATAAAGACAGTGTGGACGTTAACGTTGTCCAGCTGAGACAAGACAGAAAGAATAGTATTGTGTGGGAGGGGGGTATGTGCGCGCGTGCGTGCGCTATTAATTTTAATTTACCTGCGCTATCCTCATAGCCGTACGTAAACCCGACTGTATTTGTCCAAGATGCATAACGCCTGTGACTCCAACAACTTCCAGCATGCCATCCCAATGATTTGGTGTATAAAATTGATCTTCTTTGGTATCTGGTCCCCAAGGATTAGCACCAGAACCCCAACTAGACGAGAAATAAAAGTATCATTTAAAACTTTCTTCTTTTCTTCAATAGATTCCATAATAATTACCTTAAAATGTTCAAAATTATTATTCCTTCCACTTGTGGTAACTCAACTAATCTACCGTCTACTTCTAATCGAATTTCTTTATGTAAATCTTTGCATGGTTTACGTCCGACCATTTTGCGCAAACCCATCCTTACGTACACGCCTTTATTTCGTAATCTGCTTTTGAATTTATTAGGATTCTCTTCTCTCGCGTTATGAAAGTCCAAACATAAATCTGCGTCGACGCCAATGCCAAAATAATTATTCATTACGTATATTTGTGTATTGTCTTCGCTAGTTGCACCAGCACCAGTAATATGCAAATGGCGTGTCGCTACTTGCTGAGAAGCTGTAAAATTGTCATCCATTAAAATTCTTCTATTTAAATTATAAAATTAGTTTAAAATAATGTTAAGAAACTTATCTCTTACTTGCTGCATTACAAACTACTTGAGGTTGTTCCTTTTCTTCTGGATGAAAAACTACAGTCCATCGGTCTAATATTATTTCTTCCGCGTCGATAACGTCTCGCAATAAGTTTAGTGGATCTTCGTCACCCGTGTAGCCTGAACCCCAACATAGTACGCGAGCAAGATCGTTTCCCGTTCCCAGAGGTACAATAGCGCAAGCAGGAGAAGAACACTGGCTATCCTGACCCACATTATCTAAACATTGTAATACCCAACCTATTGTTCCATCACCACCACAAACTAATATCTTGTAGTCTTTTATGTGTCGAAAAACGTAAAGTCTGCAACACAAAGAAAGCACTTATTTATAACTTGCATAAAATTATACAATATTGCATGTACTTTAGAATATAAATATAATTTCTACTATTTATAGCGCCATGATATATGTACTTACCCGGGGAGAGGTCCACCATTATCAAGATCGAACACTTGATAAGGATTTAATAGTTTACGAAAACTAGAAATTAGTTGGAGTCCTTGACAGCCACCTGATTTTACATTTACAAACACGAGCAGCGGTTGAACGCCCGTTGGTACCATACTTGGTTCGATACTTGGTAAAATCATTACTAGAAAAAGAAGAAAAGATGAAAAAATATTTCAGTACATATCTTATCAAAACTAAAAACTAAGTTAATAAAAAAATTAAATATACATGTAATTGTATCATACTCTAAAAAAATTTCTATTTTAATATTATTCAAAATCTTCTCACAATTCAAACATATAAAAATATATATTATAAGAATACCTAAAAGAAGTTTGTCTTCGCATCTCGTCTCGCGTAAGGTATATAATGCTCTAACCGCTGTATCCAAATCTTCGTATATGATAACCATCGAACCATATTCATAATAGATTGGGCCGATTGATGAAAACCTATTTTCTAAAAATTCCATAAAATTATATATGTTTAGATAATAGATAGAAAATCTTTTTGTAATAATATAATTAGATATATATTTTTCCCGTTGAATCACCAACCTTTTCCTAAAAATTCTGTCAACATGTTTTCATAACTTCTTTCAGATAGATTTTGCGGTAAGTTACCCACGAATAAAGCCAAATTAGGTCCATGGGGATCTTGCTTTAGTTGTAGGTAGAATCGCATTAATTCCATTTGTCTAATAGATTCTTTTCCCAGTTTTTTAACAATATCCCAGGGTCTTTCGTCCCAGGACAAAACTCTTTCCGTTACTAATAAAAATAAAACTTTTATATTTTTCATGCAACACAAAAAATGAGATTAAAAGAATATTTGACTGAATTATAAGCTATCAAGCTGGACAAAAATTCGAAACGTACCACCTTGGTCTAAAAGAATTTCACTGCACCTAAAGTCATCAGAATTAAAATTTTGTAAACCAAACTTTTCCAGTGCCTCGTTTATTAAGTCTGCGACGGTTGTAGCTTCCGTGACAGGTACTGTACAGAATGACTCTGATACCTGCAATTTGCCGGGATAAACCCGTACCTCCCCACTGTCAGTATCTCTGAAATTATTGTAATTACATACTTTAATTTTTTGCGCATCTAAATTCTTTACTATATTAATACAAATATTATACAATTTCTAGTATACTATCTGTCTTTTTTTCTAATATTAAAAATAACATAGAAATAAAATACTCCAGATATTTTTTTTGCCTTAGATAAATATAAACTTACTTAAATCGCAAGAACACAGCCGGACGTTTGCCTTCTTTGCGATTTAAATTTAAAACAGGCGTTGGATCACATAACTCAGTTTCCTCCATGGCATACACGTCAGTTAAGTAAAAGTTACCTAAATTTTTCCGAAAAAATTCATTGGTTTAATAAGTTTAATTAATAAATAAATCGAACAAGACTCATTTATTATAAAGTAATCTCTATATATATCACTATATATATATATATATATGTGTGTGTATGCACGTACTAGGATGTTTCGTGATGTGAAATGCGCGCAGTGCCAATGTAAGAACCTGCTCTGTTGTAGCCTGTCTGGGTACCGAAATTACTCGAAATATTCTTCGTCTCAAAGAATTGTTGCCATCGCACACCTTCATCATTTCTATGTAAAAATATCAGATTCACGGATTAGAAAAATGAAAATCTCGAAATTATTAATCGGAAGCTGTATGGAAATACCTTCGTCACCTCTGTCTTTATCTTCTTTTTCTTTAGGAGCACGCGGATCACGGCCATGCGCTGTTCCCTGTGCTGGTTCTCCATTATCACGATACCTCGAGTCGGTACCAAATTCTTCTGATATGCTCCGCGCTGTTAACACAAAGAAAGATCACACTTCGAATATTAAAATATCATTAATATAGTATACAAGAATACCTAAATGAGTAATAGAATGGAGATAATAGAATTATTAACATAAACTATAATAATATCTAAATGAAACGTAAAATCTATACATGTATAATACATCTTTTTTCCGCTGAGTACATCCAAATTGAGAAAATATTTCACTTTTTACTCAGATAACATTAATGGTGTTTCTTTTAGCGTTATAACATTTTATATTATAAATAACACAATTTAATGCAATCTTAAAAATATTATCTTGCAAGAGCAACACTTTCACCATTAAATTATCATACAATTTATTTATAATTTATTAATATTTCGATAACTATGGAAATTAAGTCACTCATACATAAATCACTAGTTTGTATATTAGATAATATATATTATATAAATATTTGAGAAAAAGATTTGCATAAAACAGATGTTTTAAGGGAAGTAATGAACAAATTTAGGAAAAAATTTATAAACACAAAGAGCATGGCAACTCTATTTATCATTCAAGAATAAATTACATCTCTTACCATCGATTATTTACGATGGATTTGTAGAACACAGACACGATAGGAAGAATTAGTCAGTAGTATTCTTGAACTTCATTTCACTGCATAGTAGAGTGATAAGCGTCATGGAATCTCATAGCATCCAGTGGGCTGAATGACAGTGCATGCACTGAAGCGAGACATACATACATGCTAAAACGTAAACAGTAACAAAATAACATCTATAAAAAAAGGTTGGTGCACTATGATATTTATGTAAAATGCATGTCGTGTGACATTTTATTATAGATATGCAATTTAAACGAATTTATGCTGACAAATATATCATTGTTTTCTTGCTTCCTCAATTAATCTCATGTAGATATTTATTTTACTGTCAATTATTCATATTTGTTTGAGAAAAAAAAATTTATGAGAGATGATTCATGTTATTTTGTAAATAAGAAATCGCCTAAAAATTAGGCTCAATAATATTGAAATATAAATATGTTCAATGAAATACTTTTAATGAAATATACTTTTTCCACGTATAATTTAAGTAAGCACAGAGTAAATATCATTAAAGATTTATGTATTAGATTTGCCTTATTGCGCTTATATATATGTAAAATATGTGTGTACAATATACATGTTAATGTGGCAGTAAAATGTTATTTGATAAGTATGAGAAAAGCAAGCTAAATTTTTCATTGCTGTTAAGCAAAATAAAAAAAAAGACCATATAAATAAATATGAGTATAATGTCTTTTAATATAGCACTTTCTCAATCCTAAACGCAAATGTTGAAGAAGTAGTCACATGTAGAGATAATAACAATAACGATCACTACAGCGTATTTCAAGTTATTCTCAGTCTTGTACAATAAGTACATCTTGGAATTGAGTACATTCACACAGATGAATGTCTGACGATGATAATATTCTAGATACCTCGAACATAAGGAGGGGAAGCATGACAATTTCCATGGCAGCTACGTGGTAAAACTAGCGAAAGGCGCCTCAAAGCTTCGGCTAGGTGGCCTGCAGCCCCATTTTGTTCACTCTCAGCGAAATCGAACTGCTCGAGGTTATCTTCACATAGAAGCAAAGATAGACCGAATATTTTAACGGTTACCATAATTTCAAATCTATTAATTTTATCTCTGTTTAGGTATTCCGTAATTATATTACTTATGTTTATTCCTTTTCTTTCTCTTTTTTTTTCTTTGCTTAATTATATACAAAACCGTGTTTTTGTTTTTAATAGTGACAATACACAAACTTTTATTATATAATTTTGTAAACGCCGCATCTAATTATTATCTAATTATAAAGCTCTATAAAATAGATGCTGTATCTATTAATATATATTATGCCTATCAAAAGCACATTGAGAGTAGCAATTAATAAGAGCAATCAGCCACAAAAGCCATAGTTTACAAATATATTGTGAACAAAATATCTAATTAAAAAGTATAACAGACGTAGCTTTAACATTGCTTAAGTTTGATCATAAATTATAAAAATGTTTTATTTATAGAGCTTAATTTTCACAAAGCGCGTACATTATAATCCTAAACTCCGCACAATAATAAAAAAAAATTAGAAATCTTCACCTACTATCACAACTAACGATATGAGTCTCATGACGAATTCTCACTATATTTAATGATATAAATGATTGAATCATGAGTATTATGATGATTAGACAGTCACACTTTCTATAATTCAAAAGTTTTCTAATTCCTGCATTTAGCACACATTTTGTTATATACAATAAAAATTGTTACAAACGCAGAAGTATCTACTTGAAATATATTGTTGGATGTTATTAACTTAATTCACTGTCACTTTTTATATTCCATTAACATATCAGTATTTATAATTTTTTTTAAAAAATCGTATTTTTAGAAATGTAGGTATGGAAAGCTGAGAGTGTAAGAAATTGCAAGAAGTAGCAAATATAAATACATACATACTGATACGAAATATTAAAACTATCAAACGATCACAAATATTTGACTGTTGATAATATTCGGTATAAACATAGTTTTTCAGTTCATGATATAAACAATGAAAGTTTGAGGCAATAATATCTTTTAAAATATAGGTAGAGGGTCTTTCTCGTTTCATATCGAAGAAAGTCAACGTTGCATGCTCTGAAAAGAAGGAACATGTATTTGTTTACAAACCGATGGTTTTATACACGCGTGAGTGAGTACTAAAATAATATCATGCAAAAAGTTTATATTCTAAAAATTAGTTATATTTTTTACAAATACTTCTCTACTAATGTATAAGGAAAATATTTCGTATATTATACATTCTTTTTTCAAACTTTACATAGTACAGTGTACAATATCTTCTACCAATCAGTGCATATTTGCATACGTATACATGTGCTATGCAATAGTAAAAATAGAAAATCTCATACATATATGAGAAACACAGTGTATGAAAATAATCAATTGTGTCAATAGGTAATACGGAAATGCTGAATGATGGATTGAAAAAACTTTATAAAGCGCTAATCCACTGTGTGATGAAATTTATAGTGCGCACACCTGGGAAACGCGAATAATTTATACAATGTCCAATTATATAAACGGAGTAGCAAGAGCAAAACTCTCAACGTTTTTGCCATTATTTGTTATCTGAGTTTAAATATCAATATCACTTATTTAAGAAAGACACGTAAATCTCGTAATCCAAAAGTGTGATGTATAATATTTACCGCAATATACACACAAAACTGTAATTATCTGTATACATGTATATGTACAGATAACTACATGCATTAATAATTATCAATTATTTGTTTTATTGCCGGCATTTGTTTTATTGATTACAACTGAATTTATAGCGTTGACGTCTCTAGATAATTATACATTCTTCAATCTTATTGTATAATTTTATTATTTAATAATCTGTATCTTAGATGCTTAAACTCTTTTTCCTTCGTTATAAGAGACTTGTTTTAATGTCCAAATTATATTTCCAGTGAGATTGATTAATAAAATATGTTAAAGTGCTTTGCGACACGTGAAGAAGCGCAATTCCTCATTCTATTATTCTAATTACCTGTTAACACACACATAGTAATTACACGGCAGACACTTACGGCAAGAATACTCACGCGCCAGCACTTCTTTACGACGCACTTCTACTCCAATGATAGCTTCCATGGGAACTTCGGTACGCGGAATACTAACTGCATGTGGCGGCAGGTAAATTGGTTCCAAGTTACCAAAGGTGCATTCTTGGGGAATATTCTTGTAACAATACGCGTGCGACTGAGAGACGAAATCAAATTTGTCATTAAATATCATTTTAACGGTGGGCTAGGGGGAGGAGAAACTTTGATCATGCTAACGATATATATATGCTTTCTTTTTCTATTCGTAAGAGCCATTACGTATTACATTTGACTTGAAATAAATAAGTATAGCGATGCAATATAATATTTAATTCTAATTCTAATTCCTGACGGAACAAAATTAATGAATCGCAAAAAACCAAGGTAAAGGCAATCTAAAATATATATATATATTAATGAATCTTTCTTTTACCGTCATGCCGCACCACTCGCAACGAACTCCGGCAAGGCACTCGGCAGTAAAACAACTCTTCTTGCATACGGCACATTTCGAACTGCTCGGAAGATTGCCTTCCCGCCAATGATGAGTGTGTTTCACTGCTGACAAATCTTTCCCAGGTAGGTATGTGGCATTCTCCTTGCAGTCTGCCACCGCGAAGTCTTGGCATTCTACGTGCACGAAGTACTCGCATACTGGAAGTAACATATACAACGCGATTACCTTTTCGCAAAAATCCAAATACATTAGTGTCTATTAAAGCCTCGAATCTCTCATATTTAAATAACAGAAACTTCGCAGCTTACTTTCACAGTGTATGGATAGATTATCATCCAATCGTTTTCGACAGACATTGCAGAATTTTCTTTTGCAATGTACTTGTTCAGACCAACAATGTGCAACCGGGTTCTGAAACACGGCCAATAAAGAAACGCTGTTAATTTTATATATGTATATATTAACCCATCAAGCCCTAGAAGACTTCTATGCATTTTTATGTTTTAAATTCTTAACTTGGATTCTAATCAAAATGTTTTAACTGCAATTAATATTTATAGATAAAAATTACTTTTTCTAAAAATCTAATTGATGATAGAATGAGATATATGAAGAAGAAAGGTATATGAAGAAGAAAGAATAAATATTGAAAATGGAAGTGAAAGAAGTAAAGAATCCTTGTCTTGCTATACCAACAAATATTCAATTAATAAAAGTAATAAGTAATTTCACTTATCTTGAGTCAAATAAATCCTTATGATTATAATACATCACTCAAATAATAATTATATTTAGTCTTCTTAAAATAAATTAAGATTTCGGGTGTAGCTTTGACACATAAACGCAACGAACGAACTTCCTAACGTTCCGTCAAGTCTTTTCTTGAATCTCTTAGTCTCTTTTACTATCTTTCATCTAAAATTTATACTTATTTTATTGTAACGTTTAGTTATTTTACGATATCCCTGGGAAGACTGCTTTCCTATATTCTAAGTATAGGCGTTATATTTATACATAGGCGTTTAATCCTTGCAACGTGGAGACGTATCCGTTGTCTTACCTTAATCAGGCTTGCCGCGATGCTGGAGCAGGGAGAGACGACGGCCTTGAGACAGCGGTCGTGCACCACGAAGTTGCAAACTGCAATGAGAGGAGGAAAAAAGTAGAGAATTTTAGAAACGAGTGAAATTAATTGCGTTAAATCGAAAAGCGTCAACTAAGCAGTGTACACTTTAGCATAAATCAATACGAGCCGCTCATGTCGTAATTTATAACAAGATCTTCTGACCTTTTGCAGTATAAGTAAAAAACATCGAGAATCATACACGGCTGGCGTTATTTAATGCTTTTACCGTTAAGGGGAACCTCGAGGGGATCCTAAAATTGTTTGTTTTACCGATTATTTTTCAAATAAGTATATTTTTCGAACTGCCTTCATAGAGATTTAAAAATCCATCTTTTTATACAATTAAAATATAAGCGATGTTGTGGTCTAAACTAATGACTTTTGACTTTATGTAAAAAAGGTTGGAAAATTACAGTTTTTTTATCGACTTTTAATATGTCGACTCGCAATAATATTTACTTTATATACAAGTTTTATACTTTGTACATATAAAATAATAATTTTGGTTTGGACTAGGTTTAGATAAATTACATAAACAAACAATATTGTTCTTACACAATTAGACTTCGATACCTAATATAAAAGATTAGTTAGAAAATGTGTACGTAAGTGTGCGTGCAACACTAATGTAGTGTAGTGTGTAGCGATACGTCAATGACCCGTAGATTGTGTGTAAGTCCTACTGAATCAGTAATACAGACGGCTTTAGGATCTCTTTAACCAGACGGCAAATATACAATCGGTCCAACGAACTTTCACAGAAACCAAAAAGAAAATAAATGCATGCACATATTTATTTTCTTTTTCTAAACGAGTACACACATGCTCGTTCAGAAAAGAAATCATCAATTTTATTAATCCCTGGGGCGTTCTTTTTGTCTGAATATGTTCTAGGAAAAAAAATTACACGCGCTTTTTTTCACTTCTAAAATAATACTCGACATAATATTCTAGTAAAGCCGCGCGATACTATGCAAACCCTATGAAATTCAAGTTATCGATATCGAGAAGAGGGTGAAATAATTCAAACTCAAGTTGCATACGGAAAGTAAAGAATTTTGTGCTCGGTAATTTCTCAAGAATTGATATTCAGGATCGGCGGAGTGACGATTAGAGACAGTGTCTCATCCGCGTACCCCACCGTCCATCGATATACAAGGTGACGGGTGTCGTACGCGGTCCTCCCCTCGTGGGAGCGGTAATGATCACGTTCTATCGCGCTCTTGCGACGCTAATCAGGCAAGATGTGGGAAATTTGTCGCATCGACGCGCAGGTGCGGCCCGAAATAGTACTATGCATCCGCTTCGTTAAGAAGGCGCCATCAGCCGCCATCGACGATCGACCATCGTTCCACGAATGCCGAGTTAACTTTAACTCACCGAGTGGGCAGCTCGAATCGAAAAGAACAGGTACTCGCCATAGAAAAAGAGGATCCATCCCTTTACTTATATGCCTTTCACTCGAACGAGCTGTTCGAGCAAATTGTTAAGGTATCACGCGTTTCGGGAATTCGAGGAGCGCCGAGCATTCGTTTAACGAACGTTCCAGGCATTTGCAACGCTTGAGATCTACGTCGAACATTTGCACCGTTTAAGATCTCTGTTCCAAGCATTTTTTTTTTTTTTTTTGCAACATTTAAGATGTGTTCCGCAGACATTTGTAATGATTGAAGTCTGCTTCAGATATTTATAACGTTTAAAGTTTGTTTCAACTACTTTCAATCTTTAAGTCTATTTTAAGCATTCTCGCTATACGTTTAAGATCCGTTCTAGGCAACATCCGAGATCTTTTTTCAAAATTTCGATATTTCTTGACGCACTTACGGTTACACATGTGACCGATCGGTTCCACTATGCGTGCAATTATATACAAATCTATCCTAATAGACCTTTAATATGTACTACATGTTCAGCTATAAATTTTGCCATGTTTATGTCATTATTCATCGGCCAACGCAAGCCCGCCATTCGACTGTTCGAATGCATAAACATGAGTGACAAAGCTGCATGGAAAGACCAATTCTGTTGAAGTATCTAAAAATTTAGATAGACACAAATTAAAAAAATAATTATTTTAAGGAGTATAAAGCCACTCTAGAATTTTCAAAAATCGTTTTTTTTCCGCTTAAATGATGCTTTAAGATCTTAGAAATAAGGTGCAAAAGGTCTTATAGCGAAGAAAAATTTCCAAGAGTTATTTTTGGAAGTTTAAAGCGTCGTACTTTTCGGTAAAATTTGTAGCTTTTGCGAAGGGGTCCTTCTGAGAATAATAAAGAAATTAGTTACGTGCGACTCGATCATCTCTAAAATCGGCCCAGAAGGGTCAGGAGGAAAAGAACATTAACGAGAAAGACTTATTGTATGATGCAGGCATTGCAGATTAAAGGTAAACATTTCTATCTATCGCTGATTATTACATAAAACTTCAAACGCGTTTTTCTCAAAACCACATTTTATAAACTGGCCAAAAACATAACTCCCACAAATTTTGACCGATTTACTTGAAATTTCAACTGTGGCTTCAAAATTGCATTCTCTGGAGAAAGATGTACGGATTTTTTTTTGTTGCACACTTTTTTTATATAAACAATTTTTCACCTATTTTTTACCCCTTAAATTTAACATTTACTCAAATTCGTACCATTTTTTCAAAAAACGGTATATTGCAATTTCCGTACGTCTTTTTCTAGCTTTTGCAGTGTAGATTTAAAAAAATTTTGGTTCTAGGCTAAAAATTACCGGAGTTATCGTTCCAGCCGCGGAGCATTGTTCATGAGAAAACGTTATCATTGCAGAGCTGTAGCGCCGCCATTTTGTAATAAAATCACTATAAAAAACTTTTATACACACTTCAATGTATGTGCAACAAAGACCTAAAATATATTTTTTGTATTTCTTTCATTATATTCCCGAAAAAAATTCATAGTTAGGCTGATTTTTCATGCTCTAGAGTCAGTAGCGCGTTAACCTATGGGCTTTAGGGGCTTGAACCCTAGGGCGCCGAAGTGCCAGAGGCGCCTGGGGGCGCCGCAATTTAAAAAAAGAAAAAATTAAGTTATTTAAATAAGCGCATTTGTAATTTTTGCGATTTATAAAAAAAATCATTGAATAGTTGATAAATAGCGTGTTGTTATAATATACGTATGTACTTGGTGAATAAAGTTGCCGCCTTCTTAACGTGATATTATTAATAACATGATTTACACTTTACATTTGTAATACATTTGTAATCCCTGTTCTTAAATGTATCCTAGTAGTTGAATAGATAAAAATCCCGGGCTCATTAGTAAATCTATTCTGTAACTCTTAACGCAAGCTTCGTTATCATTACAATTCCGTAAAATTTTTATTACTATGATGAAAAAGCTGCGGAATGGCGTTATAACGATAACGAAACTTGTTAAGAGTAACAGTCCTGCAGCACTATTTTATAAGAACGATGTGGCAATGACGTAGCAATAATAAAGGGTTGAGATAATTGATTTTAAAAAAGAAGTCGTTACCATTAACACGTTACTTTTGAAAAGTGATTTTTGTAACGCCGATACTACGGTTCTGTCATTTCTGTCATGGAAAATTACGATGTTATGGTTATCAGAAAATCATGGAAGTAGTGCCTTATGAGGGGGGGCGCTTAGAGATCACAAGTCCCTGGGTGCAAATTTTGTTAACGCGGCTGTAGAAGAGTAGCTTTACCCTTTAACGGACCGACGAAATTATTTTCAAATCTGTATCTGTGTCTAAATTTAAACTGACATAAACAATGAGCAATGCTGCGAAAAGTTTTGACATTTAAGTTTGAACGTCTTATACAATTATTTTGATAATTCAACAAAATTATTTTCAGATCTATATTTAACTAAAATTTTAGAGAACCGTTGTTTCCATGTTTTCAGAGAAAAGAAAGGAAATTGATGTTACTATATATGATTTATAGAAAGAATCTTCTGAGACTCTTTAGAAGATTGCTATGTACAAGTTTCCAAATCTGGAATCTGTTTATTTCTTTAGCTGTATTTTTAGATACTCTTTCCCTTTCTCCTTACGGAACAAACACGCTTTTCCATACACCGTGTGTTTACAAACGTGAAGAACATAAGGGCAAAGAAAAATCTATCTGTCGCAAGTCTCTACTGATGTCAGTCTTGTCTACATTTGATTCGAAAATCGCTAAAATATTAGATTGAAAGCAACAAAAATGCACGATTTAAATTGCGTCTCTCTGAAAAAAAGAAAGAAAAGAGAAATCCCCTTATATTCTACTAATTCTTCAGTAATCACATAATAATCTCGAGTACGGCGGGTATCGGTTTTCAATATACAGTATTAGGTGATCACTTTGGGACTCTCTACGTGCTTTTATTACTCGATTAGCTTTCGGAGCAGGTGGTCGTCCTATTTTTAACGATCCCGATCGATCAGTAGCAACACGATAAGTTAACCAAAATTGTCTTGACTAAAATTATCCTGCTTTTGAAGAATCAGCTTTCGATGCTGCGAAAAATGTCGTCGTGCCTACCCCTTTAATCTGGACATTTTCCTGCCAATTCGGTGATCGGGTTTCGGATCTGTATCTTTATATAACAATCTTATCTATATAGAGTATAATTATAATATTAAATATATCCTTACGCGAGCGACACTCTGCGTTTTCTTTTACGCAATTCTTCAATTTATACAGAAAAAAAAACAACAGAAAATCTAGATGTAGCAAATGCACGTAGCGTGTTATTATAATTAATATATATCGCGATACGTTTCTTCTATACTGTGCAAGATTTTGCCGCGGAATAAACATATGCGATATAAAACAACGTAATGAAACTACCGTGACACTTTAGATTTTTCACGCATTCAGTATATATACATATATTATTTTAAAAAATATAAGATAAAATCAAATATAATATATTATTTTGATACGGAATATATACATATATGTATCATTAATGGACGATCCTTTTTATTAGCAGAGCACTCACCGCGCTTTGACAATCAAGTTGCGCGTTGTTAAAGAAAGATTACCTAAAAAGAGTAGAGAATAAAAAGGGATACATTGCTCTTTTGCATACAAATATAGGATACAAAAAAAGTATATAATAGGATACGCTGTTAATCTAGCTGGTAAATGCGATCATATCTATATAGGTATAGACTATCGACGAAAAACATCAAACAATTAAACTATTGGAAAGCCTTGCAAGAAAAGCCGAAAAATGATAATCGATATTAGCTATAAATAAAATTGGCTTCTTAAGCACATAAGCATTGTCTTCAAGATCGATTGATTAGAGATTGATAACAATCAGTGCATCCCAAACACATTTTCTATACATACACCTAAATTCGATCAGTTTACTCTATTCTCTTTTATCCCCTTGACAAAACATACGCGAATACAATGTTCATATGATAATTATTATATATAATAAGAATTATTTTAGGTATATAAGAAATTATTCGCGTAATTCAATATATATTTAAATATATAAATATATGACATATCTCTTTATTCTCAAATTCGAATAAATTGTGAATAATTTGTATGCTGGTTTTTATGCTTAATAAACTTTCGAGCATAATGTACCATTGCGGTCTAATTAACAGTTGTGCGAGTAAAATAAATACGTAAAATTCACATGTCGTTTCGAGCTTCGTTATTTGTGAGCCAAGCTACTATAGAAAGTATAGCAAATTGCAGAGAATGCAAGAATACGCTAAATAAAAATTATTATTATTTGCTCACCACGCTGAATAGAAAATGTACAGTAAACTCAATAATGTGCTATTCTCAGAATCATACATACTGTTACTCAGTTTAAAAAAATACCCATATTTATTTTATTTTTATAATATTTATTTCGTCAATCATATATTCTCTAATATAATTTTACTTTCCAAGTTTTTATACATTCTCACACGTATATGGTATACGTATATTGTTCTCGACATGTGTTAAAAAAGATTAATAAAAACATAATTACATGTTCCAACTCGTTAATATAAAACATAGTCTTATTTATTATTACAGAAATCAAATATAATTCATTCTCCTATTGTGGTTGCTATCCAAACGTAATCAAAGTCGAAGATTAGCTAATGCATAATCAAGATAACGAAGGAATTATTGCACGTGACATCGTACGTGATTGTTGCACTAACAATAAGATTAAAAGGTTTAGGAAGGCAAACATTACTTTTCAAATAGCATGTATTCGCATTACTTTATCATCATCATTATAGAGGATATTATTTCAAAAAGGGAGATTGTAAAAAAATGTAGAAAATTATTTCACACTCTGCATTACAATTTGTTTTTTAATCGACGTAAGAAATTATTGTGTCACGCGCTATTCTCATTTCTAATATCATATTGCATAGGCTTGTAACATTCATTGTCGTTACATAAATGATTTGTTACGCACACATACGACGTGTATTATGGTAACGGATGTGTCAACACTGTCAACTGAGACCTTTATCGTTCTGCATATGAAAACACCAGAACCTTTTTACATACAATAGTATGTGTGTATAGGTAATGTATTGCAGCCATAAATATTATCTATAAATAGTACAGATTATTTAAAACTTTTAGATTATTAAATTTCTTTTAATTTAGATTATTTAGTACTTTTTTTTGTGCAATTTTATTTTATAAAAGCAAAATATGAAAAAATTAATATTTTTATGCAATTTTAATTTATAAAAGCAAAATGTTTAAAAATAAATCTTTAAAATTGATTAATACAAAAGAATTGTTAGCATTCTAATTATTGCAATCACTAATGCGTATTAATAATTATCGATCATGTAGAATTTAATAAATTAGCATTTGCCATTAAAATATACGTATCCGTAATGCAATTGTTAATAAAAATAAATAAATCGTGCAATAATGCACGGTAAACATTTAAAAGTAAACAATAAATTCCAAGCAAAAAATAAGTATGAAAATCGAATTGTCTTAAACAAGTTTGTAAACAGTCATTAGGATTTTATATCATGGATTGGATTTAAACTGACAATGCTAAGTATAATTTGCAGACATAAAAACAACTTTATTTAAAGCAGCCGACGGTAAAGCGATCAATACATTGTGTAGCAAGGTTTAACAATGGCTTTAGAAATATAACGCTTTATCTTTACCCTTTGTGAAGTTAACATCCCATTTCCAGGATTTCGATATAATTGATAAAGAGTTCTGACTCTCAAGCAATTCTGGTGTTGCTGATACATCTCAAATAAAAATCCAATTGAATGCAAAAAATAGTAGTGTAAAAAAAAAATATTACACCGCAACTGTATACATTATACATATCAAAAGTATATATAATATACCATGCAAGATAAATAACTTTAATAAATCCTCCAATTTTCCTCCGAGTCATAAAAAGGTTCTCTTTGAAAATCTAACATTTTCTTTTGATTTTAAAACATTGAAAGAATTATTTATAACTTTTGCATCGCGCGAAAATGTGAAGTTGGGCGTCCTATGTTTTTAGATTCTTTTGTTCTTTGTACAACTAAAAACTTTTTAAACAATTAATAATGGAATGTAAATTTTCATGCGTAATATAATAAGCGCAATATCATAAAAACGTTGGAGAAACTACACGTATACACGTTTGCTTTTGGAGATTACAATAGCCCGTATAATCTCTTTCCTATATAAACAAAACAGCGACAAGTTCGGAGATCCTTTTTGTTCGAACGTATTCAAGAGTAACGGCTTAAAGTTGCCTATATCTTTACAGTGGCTTCCTAAGTGGTCTCTGCGTTATGACTTTAATGACCTATTTAACGATCGTAGGTTCCTAACAACCTTTTTTTCTCTCTTTTTCGATGTTAAAACATACATCTGGGAATTACTTCTAGATCCGCGCGTATATACGGCCACATCGAGTTCGTTCCCGACGGAAGACTGGGAAAACAATCAATCGGAATCCGCTGCGGCGAACGTATGCGTGGCACTCCGGGTATACGCGAGGGCGAGACTCTTCTGATCGAACATTCCGAGGTATATTCGAAAGAGTGCGAGTAGAGCAGAAGCACACACGGCTTGTTCCGCTCGCGTTACAACGAAGGTCCTTTACGCCTCTTTACCCGTCAGCGAGCCTCTTACGCTCGCTCCCACTTCGTGACAACCCTCTTTGCCGCCGCCGCCGCCGAGCGCCCGCGCGCCCCTTCAACCCCTTCCACATCGGCAACCTTATCCATGGTCTTTCAGCCATCCTACCCCACCCCTCGCGATCAATGCTTGTGAAAAGGTGGGCGCGCGTTCGCGCTCGCGCTCTCTGCGTACGCCGCGCCGCGCCGCGCCGTCCCTCTAATCCTATTTCCTTCTCACTCCCTCCCACTTTTTCTGCTCTCTCTCTCTCTCTCTCTCTGTTTTTCTCGACGGATCACACACTCCGTTTCTATCTCTCTCGTGCTGTTGCACCGATTCGCGCGCGGCTGGCTGGCGCTAAAACGCTCGAGACTCGACGCGAGGCACTCGGAATGCAGCCCTCTGACCCGATCGAACGACCAGAGCCAGGCGGCGTCCGATCCCGGCCTGATCGGATCGCTGCGTTCTCGATCCGAATCGAAACGATCGAGACCTGTGAACATACATCATGCGCGCGAGGACGATTCTAGGAATGTAATAGTTAACGCTATCGATCGACTCACGCACTCGAGAGCGCCCGCTTGAAACTTTAAAGACCCGCAAGCACCCTCGCGAGGATGATCCGCGTACCGCGCGTTTTACTTCCTTCCCCGACGGGGAAATCTCGTTGAAGCGCGAATATATGGAAAGCGCCAAGTCTGTGCGACGGAATTGCGCAAGTATTGTATGCGAATATAATTAAAAGATCGAGACTTTCCGCGTTTCTCTCGTTTATTTCCTCGCACAATGAAGTTGCGCGTGGAATCTCACACCGCACCGTTCTTGCTCTTACATTACGTTTTGATTTACCCTATCATGGGAACGCGGTATGTATCTAACACCGAAGGGATTCTTATCTCCCTGGCGAACGGAATGAATCGCCGCCGCTGCCTGGTTGACATCGATTCGCCATCCGAGATAGCGCGATTATCTCTTACCTTCGCAGATGTAAGAGTACCCCGGCTGTATGGGGCCCCAGACCTTGTCCGTGCAGCTATGGCAGTACGTCAGTTTAGCAAACACTTTCTTGCTGAAGCTGTGCCCATGGCTGGCTGGAGTCTCGGCCGAGGCCGACGCCATATTCCCCGTTCCACCGCGGAACCGTTCACGCCAGATTTTCACCGTGAAGCCTACGCAGGGCGCGCGCCGCGCGACGATGACAACATAATTATTACACGCCCGACACTACGTTATCTCGGAACCGTACGCGTACATAACTGCGTTGCCGCGATGGTGGTAGTAAACGGAGTAGGAGGAATCGTCGCTGGCCGCACGCTGGCCCTGCACTCGTCGCACCGTCGTCGTCGTCGTCGTCGTACCGTCGTCGTCGTCTCGTCGTACGGCGCCTCGTCGTAACGTCGTCGCGCCTAACACGCATTATTCCACGAGCTGCGCCACGGAACGACCGACGCGCCGGCAGCCACGATCGCGCGTGCCAGATGCGTCGTCGTCGTCGTCGTAAATCGCCACCAATCCGTCTGCACCGATCGCCACCACTCCGATCTCACGGCCGCCGCCGAGCATCACCGTCGTCGTCGTCGTCGTCGTCGTAGCTGCTGCTGCTGCTGCTGCTGCCGCCACTGCCACTGCCACTGACGTTGCCCTCGTCGTCCTCGTCGCTGGGAGTCTCGCTCGCGTACGCCTCGTTCGCGATACGATGCGTACGATGTCGCGTTCGCGCATCCGACGAGCTGCTGCCTCTGTCGCTGCTGCCACTGCTGCTGTTGCCGTTGCTGCTGCTCCCGCTGCTGATCCGAGCGTACGCCGCTGTGAGGCCGCACTGACATCAGCCCCTTTTCGTCACCGCCACCAGCCAGTGGCGAATGCGCTGCCCTAGCGGACGTCTAAGTGGGGCGTCATATGGGGGCCGCGAGTCGAGCCGAGCGAGCGAGCGGAATCCAAGAGAGAGAGAGAGAGAGAGATGCGAACCACCCTTCCTTTCCAAGCCTCGAGGGCGCGCTCACTATATCTCTCTCTCTCTTCCTCCCCCGTTTTCACGATTTACTTCCAATGGATCGTTCCCATGTTCGAAAGACTCGCGAGTCCGCGACACCGTTTAAATAATCTTTATACTCCACGTGCAGAGCAAGTGTCGAAAGGTCGTGCTCCGGAGTGTACGAGTCTTCTGAAATAAAATTTTCCGGACGGGGACGTCGGCCTCGTTCTCCAGCACTGTCGCGATGGCGACGACGGAAGCGTAGCGCCGTATATTCGTTACTCCACGGTTCCGTAATGCGGGCTCGCACTGCTCGCAGCGTGCGGTGAGGCCTTTCGTCTATTTCCGATCGGTCTCCCTCTCTCTCTCGCTCGGGAGGACGACTCCCGTTTCAATAATATCTTGTTGACTCGGAAATGACGAGATGTGTCCGCAGACGGTAGTCTACGTCGCCTCGAACGGCGACGATGACGGCATCGATACGTCGAGAAAGTATATACTCTCTCTCGTTACATACTCCTAGAATGTAATTCTCGTTCCGAGAGCATGCATTATAAACGCGGTCGCGCGCGCGATCGTTCTTTCCAATTAATAATAAACTTAATTCGCAAAGCGACAGCGGGCATCCCGCGATGCGAACGGCCGCGGTTCAACCACGAGCGTGGTTCGTGCGTCATCTCCTCGTTCCGGCGAACCGACTCCTGCGGCCGACGTTAAATTGCGCGCGCGCGCGCGCGCGAAATATACGGTCCGGCTCGCTCGACGATCGCTCGGCGATCGAGATGACGGCCGAGGCCGACGACGTGACGACGGCGATGGCGTCGACGTCAGTGACGGTAGTCAGCCGACGCGCGAACGGTGCGGCGCGGCCGTGACGCGCCGACGCGACTCTCGCGTGTGTGTCGCACACCGTCGCGTGTCTGGTCGCGTCGCCACCGCGTTGCGCGGCCCGTGTATGCCATATTATATATTTGCCACTGTGGAGACTCCATCACGACGTCACGAGTAATAGCACGCGAGATCTCGACGCCCCTCGACGACGCTTTCCCCCCCCCCCCCTCACGTTTACAAAACTCGTTAAACGAGCCGCGCGCGCCGCCGTATTACCGGATGCCCTTCTCCTCCCCCCCGCCCCTCCGCGCGCGATCCGATCTCTCAACGTGCGCGTGACGAAGGACGGCAAAAAGGCGCAACAACGACGACGACGACAGAAAGCGGCAGCCGCGAGCGCGCGTTCCATTTAATCGTCGCTCTTCTCGATAATGAATACTGCCTATTATCGTCGCGACGCCCGTCGTCGCATTGTATACGTCGCGCGCCCGCTCTCGCGTTCTCACGATACACACACACACACACCATGTATGCACGCCTACAATGAATCAGGGGAGTTGCGGACGCATCGCGTTGGATTTTTCAATAACGGAAGCACGAGGGGGTGGCACGCATTTTCACATTCCTGTCACGTCCCGTTGTATTCATTAAACCGTCTGCTGCACATGCCTACATTGACGGACATTATAAAGTTATATCTCGCCGCGCGCTTTCTCTCTTTCTCTCGCTCTCCCCTGCTTCTCTCCCTCTCTCTCTCTCTCTCTCTCTCTCTCTCTCTTCTGTGCCTGTGGATTTCCCTCTTTCTCTCTGTCTCTTTCTCCTTTTCTCTATTGTGCGCGATCAAACGTGAATGAAACGGGTTTTAATTTCAATACGGGACGAGAAGCACGCTAAATGCATCACAACTGCTTTATTACAAACTATACTCTGTTATAATCACGTACTTATATACACTTGTAAATAATACGTAGGAATATATCGTTAAATTCGATGACAGTTTCAGCGTTAAAGCTCTAAACAATGCGAGGCAACGGCGACAAGAACATCCTATTCCGATCGCTGTTCTTATCGCTGTTACCTCATATTGCGTTTAGGGCTTTTATACGCTGGAAACTGTGTCTTCGAATTTAACGATATATATTCCTAACGTACCATTTAGGAAGCGTATATACATATGTATGAGTGCGTGATTATAACGGTAATTGATGCATTTAGCGTGCTTCTCTCCCATGTTGAAATTTAAACCCGTTTCATTCGCGTTTCATTGCGTTCGTGTAGAAATAAGCGATATATAATAATCGTTGCCTTTCCCGTTGCACAATGCCGCGAAAGAAATAAAAATGCCGACCAATCTGATCGCGTATATAGACTGTAAGTACCCTCTTCCATCTGCTTCAAAGTTATAGCACATATAAACAGAATGAAAAATCTAATCGCTGCGGATTGGTAGACTATAAGACGATAGACACAGAACTCCAACCCGTCGGAAATTGCATTCCCGTACGTTGGAATTTTCTGTTTCTTCGCATTGTGTTTAGGGCTTAAAGCATGAATTTAAGAAAAAAACGGGATGATCGGATTTCCCGAATTTTTCCACCTCTTCTAATTTTATTGTGTTTATGAGAATTATTGTGTTTATTTCGCGGAAAAATAATTATGTCTTTTTTTTTTGACATAAAACAACACGACATAAAACCGTGATGATACAATTGCATTATCCTTTAGCAAATATTAAGCATAAACCTATACGGATTTGGTCTAAAGTCTAGATAGTTCGCTACCCATCTAATATTCGGGGACATACATATGAGACAATTAATGAATCGATCGTCACTTAAAAATACAAGCAGATATTAATACTCCTGATGTTATTTAAATGCGTTTATTTGGACATGTTCGAGAATGTTCATACATTTTAATCGCAGTCTTCTCGTATTGTCATCTTTTGCTAATCATCGTTTTTCTAGGCATTTTTTTTAATCCTCCGTCTACAACCTGGAATCTACAATCTTTTTTGACACAAGCAAACTTTCACACACACACACACACACACACACACAAACGCATTCTCAAATTTCTCCAAAATAAAAGCCAGAGTCCCGTTCTTCCTCCTAAAATAACTTGTTAAAACAAAGCTATTTGGTAATGTAATAAACGTATCGACAAATAATCCTAAATTGTCTCACATTTTTTGAAAATCTATAACGATACAAAACTTAGACTGGACAGAGGAAGTAAAAATATGATTGCAGATGAAGAGTTACGATAACTTCGAAATTTGGTGCAATAATGGTAGATGAACTGTTTGCTTTTATGTACTTTATTTTTTGGACGGAGCATAAAGCATCGTCTTTTGTCAATGCAACATTTGGTCTTAACGTAATACATATTTCATTCTTAACTTCGATAGAGACTACAGTTCACTTAACACTACAAATGCTTTGAAGCATATTCTTTATATTCGGTCAATTAGTCAAATTCCTTCTTCTGATCGATCCATGAAACGCCTCGAAGCATTTATAGTGTTATGGACTCGCACCCAAAGACTTATTCTACAATCCGGTCAGTTATCGTCGAACATCAATGCCAGTGGTATAAGCATGAACAAAAAGTAACTTATTAACTATTTTGATTTGTTTCTGACAAGATATGTACATTACACTGCTTTTATAATCTGAAAGTTTTAACGGAATACAAAACGTGACATTCACGACCGCATCTGCGTGTCGCGGATTAATCGTGTCGGTGTAAAAAGAGTGCAAGGATTAAAATGTTGTCTCTTGTTAATTGATTTAATAAACACATGTTAAGGCTCTTTGCTTAAGGTAAATATATTTCGACGATCACGATCTTTGACTATATACAAGTATGGACTGCTAGTCATCTCCACTTTTCCCATAAAGTCACAAGCCAACATTAATTCGATATTTCGAGAGTTAAGCCCCGCCTGGATGACCAAAAAAACGGGAATTCAATCGTATCAAAGGTAGGGGACAGCCGATATCATCATACAAATTTGTTTTTTGACTATATTACTTAGGCCCGATTGCACCAACGTTACCTTAACTTTAAGCGAGGCTTAAAATTCTCTCCCTCTATGTCTCTTTCTTGACTTCAAAAAAAGAGAGTTTTAAGCTTTGCTTTAAAGTCAAGATAATAAACCTTTAGAAAGATTCACAAAACGTTGGCAATGCATTATGACACGCCGATCTGGCTTTATATAAAATTATTAAAAAGTTACAATTTCACTGCAAAAAAAAATAGATATTTTAGGTTAAAACAAAACCAACAATTACCCATAAAATGTTTTGTTAAAATGATTTTCATCATTTTTCCGGTTAGCATCTCGTCGATTTGCAACCCTCGACGAAACAGTATATAATCATTTTTCATAAGATCGATCGAGACATAAAAATCTTTTGCTCTGTCTGTTGTCTAGCTGTTCCGACCAAGGGAACTTTCGAGATGCTTTAGCAAATACATTGACTTTTTTGTAGACGACACCATTAATTCCTACTTTAGCTTCTTGGTCATTTAGAAGCGCGATACATCTTGGCTGACAATATCTTGCGAGATATCGCAAGCACTAGCAGCCCATACTTATAACGGTCAAAGATCACAATCAAATATAAGTAGAATAAAAATGGAACAAAAAATTTTTATATAATGAAGTGACATTGCAAAAATACGCAAATATAATCGAGTTTAATTGAATTGTAATAGACATAGGTACAATATAAAAATTATTAATCTCGTCACGCTCTTTTATAATATGTCGCGTAACAATATCATGCCTCTCCACTTTAGAAGTTTCATCAATTTTCAAGCGATATTCATATGTAATAAAAAAGCTTTAGACACAGAAATCGAACCGAAAGGTTATAAAGAGTATTACGAAAATGTCGAGACACTGGATTATTTCAGAAAAATTACGTTTTCGGAAAAAATTTTTCATACAAAAGTTGTAAAATATCAGGTAACCTTGTAACCAATTATGACTTGGTTTTTCATTATCTGGTTAACTTATGGTTAATTTTTACCTGATATTTTGTCCAATCGGCTTCATCGATGATAATGACGTGGTAATACTAGTTCGATCTTGAATGATCTTGAAAATGTCATATTAAAGTATACCTAACCGACATCGAGATTCTTTTCAAAACAGTAGAATTTAGTTTCATTTGGTTAAAAACTATTAAATATACGCTAAAGTTTAAATACCGTCGAGAGTACTCCAAGATGCACCAGAGATTGCACAATCGAATTTGCAACATCAAACTAATATCACCACATAACAGATAACTTGGCACTCTACAACTCTTGTATGAAAAATATTTTCCATAACAATGTCATCTTTCTGAGATAATCTAGTGTTCCGATCTTTTCGTGACACCCTCTATACGTATATATTTACACGTAAATATATCTCATATATTCTTTTAAAATCTTTAAAGAGAAGTAACTGTGTGTTGAACACTTGAAACAAGCACGCTGTTTATTAGACACGAATATCCTCTCGGAATTCGAATTCGATTCAATTCAACATCCACTATTATTAGATATGTGCATACAACACACGTATGTATATATCATAATATCGTAACGTATAAATGTTACAAGCGAATATATATTTAGGAATATACTTAACTTATTGTCTGATCTTTAACAGGGAAAGTACAAATCGAGATTTCTAATACATGTTGATATACTTCGATTGCACAGTTTCTCAACGGTGTACATTTTTGTAACAAAATATCTCGATTCATTTCAACAACTGCGTTGGACACGAAAATTGATAACTTTTACATTTCGCTACACTATGTATGCGCGTTTTAATAAGCTTCATAAAAATATGATACAACTTTTTAACAAGAATGCAAAGACATATGTATATATGTGTGTGTATATATATATATATATATATGTCGCACCAAATATTTCTAATAAACTATTGCCAAGAAACTGATTTTAAATTCTTATTCAATTGTTGTTGCCCGGAATGCGATCTTCATAGTAAAATCAATAATAAAATTAAATAATCTTTAACTCTTAACTGTCTTATAACGCGAGAATATTTATTATCATATAATACTACGGAAAGTAATAAGTACATACACAGATAAAGTAAAAGAATGTATTTCAGTCATCAAATAATCAGTCTAACATTAACATGTGAGTTTTTTTAATAATAAATTGTATTTGAAAAATCTATGAATTTTTTAAATTGAATTAGTATATTATATGAAATGATAATGAAATAATATAATTAATATAATAAATTTTTTTTATAAAAATAATGACAGGATGATATAAACAATAATAGATTCAAGATCGAATAAAATTAGTGGCTCAATTCCAATAAACTCAAATAAATCGAGTATACTTATATTTGAACTGCTACTTTTTATCTCATTTATAATCGTCTGTTGTTTAACAATAGAAATTAAAAAATTGATGAAAGAGAAAATAAAAAATAGTCAAAAGATAGTCTCTTAAGATGAAAATTTCATTATATCAGTTAAGAATTAAAGGTAACTAGATTGTTGTAATTGTTTATTCTAAAAAATACTAATATACTCTTTAACTATAATATTTTAGACCTACTTAAAAAACAAAAATCGGTAGTAAAAATATCATCAATAAATGTGTTCGATTTTTTTTAAATATAATATTTCAAATAACAATATAATTACTGATTTAATAAACTTCGAATTTAATCATTGTTACTTGAAAACTTTCTTTTCCATGAATATGTAATTCATATTTGAAAAACACATAACAATGTAGCATTTTAATAGTATCTCTTTAATTATTAATTAACTACGATCAATTGATTCACTAACAGTAAGGATAAAAACACTCGCCTTTTTAACAAAAAACACATGTTTACTACCGATTTATTAATCTTTCTGATGCAGTCTGTAGATTTCTTAACATTTAAACTAAAAGATATTTTTATTGTTGTAGATAATTTTTTCGCTAATAATAATTAAAAATATCCGAAATTTTATTGATATATTATGTGACACGAAATACGATATTTAATTAACAATACCATCACATCTCATATTGTAAAAGCGATTAACTAACTTATCTTTCAAACTTGAATGCGAATGCTATAAGTAATTATATATTATATATTTACTTCACTTAACCAGCGCGCGCGCGTGCACGTAATACATATTATACAAATAGAATTTTCCATAAAGAAAAAGTTTTTAATTAATTTAAAAAATCGTATTTCTTGACTTTCCGCACTATGTAAAAAACACGGAATGTTACCTCTCTCCTTAATAACTTTTATATTCTGTCATTTTATTGCTCAATAAACAAGTCAAATGTAAAAAATTTTTTAATTGCACGGCTTTACTTTAAATAAAATAAAATGTATGTTAAATAGAGATGGCGTGTTTAGTTATGTATATAAATATTATTAAAACACGCCTGATTGCCATTATCATTCTATCTTCTGTTTATTTGATAGAATTATATAAAATGTGATCGGCTGGAAAACACATGCTTAAATATATTTTATTTAAATCTGAGAAAATGTCTTGGCTAAAAAGATATTGAAACTTATACTTGATATATTTTTCGCTGTATCGTTAACCCTAATCGGTATTTGCGGGTTCAACATTTTCTTCAACTATGTTGTGAAAAACTGTTTATAACAAATGTTTCACATAACCTTAAATAAAATTGCATAACTTATTTTTTCAAATTTTAACTTTTATAAAATAAAAAAAAGTCGTTTAATTACGTCAACTTTAAACAAAGATACATTAATTTTAAATACATTGGACCACAAATACCAGTTAAGGAAATTTTAAAGCGAATACTAATTAAGGTCAAAATATAGTAAATTTAACAAATGGAAATATATCTGCACGCCAAAATATTTATGTTTTTTTTCTTCTTTTTTTATAATTTTGAAACTAAAGTGTTTTTGCAGCTCCAGACAACGTGGCCAATGTGCACCAACTTTACAAACATTCATTAAATATTGATCTACATTCATATGGATAATTATATACGTGTGTATGTGTATGTATAATATTTGCTAATGCAGTTGACGTACATTGGCCATGTCGTAAGGAGCCGTCTTAATGATGTGGAGATTGCGTTAATAGAAATAAGAAATAATAAAACATAGTCGTGTGTGGAAATGTAGACTTACGAAGAAGCACGCGTATATCGTTTTAAAGAATATTATCCCAATCCATGATCTTCGAAAAATCCTTGGGGAGTTTCCTCCTGCAACACACACACAAAAGAACAAATTTATCAATACCGTATTCAGAATGTCTTATGAATAATATGAATAGGGATCAATTACTTTGACGCTGCACTTTATAAACACATTACAAAAAAGATAGAATACAAATATATACATATAAATATATAAACATACACGTACCTACTTCATAATAAAAATCCCTTCTTGATGCAGCTTCAAATGGTGAACTGAACCCTTTTCATATAACTGAGTAACTTTTACTTTAGGTACACAAAGCGCATGTTCATATATTGCCTCAATTGAAATCTTAAGCGCTAATAAAAATTGCTTGTTTTACATGCAACGTATTGAATTGAGAAGATTCTATCCTCCAGGTGGAATCATAGTAAATGCGATTGTATGCTTACACTGCATAATAGCTTATAATAAAAAATATTCAGTTAACATATTATTTCGTTACGAATATATTATATTATTTATTAAAAAAATTAATAAATTACTAATAAATTAATTTTCAGTAAAAACTTGAAATGTTATTTTTATCTGAGACTAACGTAAGTGATATAACATAGATTAAGAGGTATTATGCGCGTTAATTTTCAATCACAACATAAAGATTTCGTACGATATATTTATTACTGGTACACTTAATGTATAATAACATTAAGAGAATTGACGATGCTTATATAATATATAATATGCGTATGTACATATACATATAATGTATAAAGAGTATATAGAGATATATGTTTCTAATTATTTATATGTATAATTAAGATAAATTCCTTTTTTTTATATAGATACATAGATGCGTAAGAATATACGTTCTATGCAATAGTCACATTAATACTGACGCTC